CAAAGCTGCAATGAACATGGGTGTGCATATATCTGCTTGGATGTCAGCTATGGTCTCTTCAGGGTATATTCCCAGTAGTGGAATTGCTGGGTCAGAATTAGTATTTAAGAGTATAGATTCTTGAATCACAGCTTATTAGAGCCCCCACCTGTTAGTACTTAAATTTAAGTGAGTTATTTAACATCTGCGATTGTCATACTGTTGACTTTGAAAATAATGATTAAATGATGTGATAGAAAGTGTTTATCACAGTGTCTGACATGTGAAAATGATTAATAGGGTCATAGTTATTTCATTACAGGAAAATATTTATTTAGAGTATTTAAAGTATTTATTTAGGTTTCATATTATGTTGTTGTTGTATTACCTTCAAGTTGGAACTGACCCATAGCTGACCCTTCCAGTGCATTTTCAGAGGCATTTAATCGCTTGGGAGGAGATTGCCCATCTTTCTTCGTGGAGCAGCTGGTAGATTTGAACTGCATGCCTTTGGGATTGTATTTATAAAAATATATATATATATACATATATACATTCGTTCAAAAGTGGTAGAACAGTACATTGACAGAAAACTGCCAGAAGTACAAGCTGGTTTTACAAGAGGCCATGGCACTAGGGATATCATTGTTGATGTCAGATGGATGCTGGCAAAGAATACAAGAAGAATGTATATTTGTGTTTTATTGACTGACTATACAAAGGCATTTGACTGTGTGGATCATAACAAGTTATGGCTCACATTGAGAAGAATGGAAATCTGAGAACGCTTAATTATGTTCATACAGAATCTGTATCGAGACCAAGATGCTGTTGTGTGAACAGAACAAGGGAACTGCTTGGTTTGAGATCAAGAAGTGTGTGCGTGAGAATTGTGTCCTTTCTCTGTACCTATTCAGTCTGTTTGGTGAGTAGCTCATTCACGAAGCTGAACTCTATGAAGAAGAATGTTACATCAGGATTGGAGGAAGACTCATCAACAGTCTCTGTTATACTGATGACACAACTTTGCTTGCTGAAGGTCAGGAGGATATGAAATGCCTGCTGCAGAAGATAAAGGACTACAGCCTTCAGTATGGATTACATATCAACATTAAGAAGACAAAGATCCTCACTATTGGCCTAACAGTCAACATTACAATATATGGGGGGGGAAAATTGAAGCTGTTAATGATTTCATCTTGCTTGGAGAAACAATAAACACGCTTGGTATCAGCAGTCAGAAAATCAGGAGTCATATTGCACTGGGCAATCTGATGTCAGAGATCACTCCAAAATACTGAATAGCAGTGATGTCAGTTTGGACTAAGGTGCGCCTGATTCAGACCATGGTCCTCTCAATCACCTGCTGTGCATCAGAGAGCTAGACAATGAATAAGGATGACAGAGGATTTTATGTCTTTGAGTTGTGATGCTGGAGAAGAGTATTGAATATCTCAGGGATTAACAAAAGAACAAACAGATATGTCTTGGAAAGGGTACAGCCAGAGTGCTTCTTGGAGGCAAAATGCTGACTCTTCATCTTTCATACTTTGGACATGTAGCTAGCAATGCTGTTCCTTGGAAGGGGACATCATGGCTTGGAAAGATGGTGGGTCAACAAAGGAGATGAAGATCCCTAGTGAGATGGATTGACACTTTGACTTCAGCAGTGGGCTTTAGGGTCTCAGAGATAATGAAGATGGCACAGGATAGAGCAGCTTTCAGGATGTCTGTTCATAGGATTGCTATGCGCCATACTCGATTCAATGGCAACTAACAACAATAACAACAAAAACAATATAAGGGCATGCTGGTGGCCTAGTGGGAGCTATGCTCGCAACCTGAAGTCATGCAATTTAAGTCCACTAGCATAGGGTCGCTATGAGTCGCAGGTGACTTGACGGCACATAACAACAACAACAACAGCTGCTGTGAAAGAGAAAGATGGGTAGTCTCCTGTGCGATTCAGCTGTGGAATTTCTTTAACTGTTTCTGACTTTTGTGTTAAGATGATTTTAGCCCTTAAGCTTACCAAAAGTAATTTTTTTGTTTTTATTTTTATCTTACTGAATACCTTAAATTGGTGTTAGAATTAAAGGATCATGACTGATGTTGTCTAACTGTACATTATATATTCTCTTCCATAATTTGACAATAATTGTGTTTTGTAGGTACAACAAAAAACATTAAAATATCCAGAAATGAAGGACCGGTGAAAAGAAAGGTAAATAATACCTTGTATTATGTACTATCGTAATAGTGTCTGAAGTTCTGATATGAGGCACATATTCAAGAAGAGGCAGAGGATGCTTTCAGGGAAGGCTGCACAAAGTGGTGTTTACTAGGTGCCTTCTACAGTTTTGGAAAGATCTAACCTATTGATTTTGTCAATTGAGGTACTTGGAAAAAAGGCCATCCTGGAGAGGTTAATTCGCTCATAGTCTCCCAGAAAACAGACATATAAACAAGAAAATGGAATTCTTTTTTGACGACACAACAGTAGTGCAGCCCGGGATATATGTAACAATCTCAACAAGTAAATTTCCCCATGTGGGCATCTCTAATTGGGTATTTAAATTTATGTCTGCATGGAGTCAAAGCAAAGGTGTATTAGAAGTTAAATGGATACTGTTGTTGTTGTTGTTGTTATATACCATCAAGTTGGAACCAACAGTAGCTGACCCTCCAGTAGGTTTTCAGCGACAGTAAATCACAAGGGAGGCAGTTACCCATCTTTTCCTCGTGGAGCAGCTGGTGGATTCAAACTTTGTGCCTTTGGATTGGCAGCACCATTCCTTATCCACTAGACCACCACCACTCCCTTACTGTTGCTGTTGTTGTTAAGTGTCTTCAAGTTGAGTATGACACATAGCAACCCTGTGAGGAAAATATCTGAAGCCTATTCTATAACTATCATCATTTCTCTATGTTCAGTTTCCAAAGGCATATGGTTTAGGAAGTGGATGCCACTCCTGCTTCTAAATCTGAATCAATCTGGGAGCTCCACCAAACACTGTCCACTATGGGTAACTTTATGGCACTTGACATACCTAATGGCACAGTGTTCAGCATTACAGCAACTCCGTGTTACTTAAGTACAACAAATAAACAGACAGCTGCTGCAGCACTTAGAAGAATGTTCACTTCAAAATCAATTAACACTAGTGGTCCTGGGACCCTGCTGCTTTTTTTTTTTTTTAAATTCTTTCTACTTTCTTTTTTCTTTCTTTCTTGTTGTGTACTGTCAAACGAGATCCAACTGGCACAGGAGGGGATTGCCCCTCCTTTTCCAGTGGAGCATCTGGTGGATTCGAACCCTGTGTGCCTTTAGGTTTGCTGTGCAGCTTCTTGCTACTAGGCCACCAGAGCTCCCTCCCCCTCTTTTTTTCTTTTTTAAATACAGACATGTCCACCAAGTACTGGTTGACTATAAACCAAGAGACCCCCAGCCCACAGCTCATTGTTAGTTAAATCTGGCAAGTCCAATCAGCTGACACCCACTTGTAGACAAAAAAAAAAACCCCAAACATTCCATAAGTGACCCTCATCAAGATGCGAGAAACCATCTTACAGACTCAAACCACTTCACAGGAAGCTCCAGCATGCAGACTGAGCCCAACACTGCCCCTTTTTTAAATACAGGCACACCCACCAAGTAATAGTAAATGGTACGAGATTATTATAATCTGCTATGCATCAGAGAGTTGGATGGTGAATAGGGATGATAGAAAGAGAATTGATGCCTTTGAGTTGTGGTGCGGAGAAGAGTGTTGATTATACCATGGACTGCTAAGAGAACAAACAGGTTTGATCTGGAGAAGGTGAAGCTGGAATTATCCGTGGAGCTGAGGATTCTGAAGCTTCGTCTGACATACTTTGGGCATGTTGCAAGGAGGGACTGGTCCTTGGAGAGGGACATCATGTTTGGGACGGCGAAAGAGAGGAAAACCCTCAATGGGTCGATTCTGTGACTGGAGTGGTGGGAATGAGTGCGTTTGAGACGGCTATGTTGGCACAGAACAGAGCAGCATTTAGAGCTCTTGTACATAGGGTCGCTATGAGTCGCAAGCGACTTGATGGCATATAACAACAACAAAACATTCATTGGCAGGGGAATGTTACCTGCTTCCAAGACATACACCATACTGTCCTTGACAGTGCTTGGATGAATATTGCTGAATGTGCCTCTTCAAGCCTTGCTTTGTAAGTTGGCTACTCTTTTTATTTTTTTTTTAAGTTTTAAATGTGTCTGTGAGATTGATTAAGCTTCAGATTGCTGTCCTTGGGAGTGTCGCCAGCAAGATGGTGTGATCGGCATTGATGTTCTCCTCTCGGTTGTTGGCCCTGGCCAGGCTCTCAAGCAGCCTTTCAGTGAGGTCAAAGTTCTACTGTCAGGAACCACCAAATAGCAAACCTAATTGGGTGAAAGTTGAACTGACCTTGGGCACTGCAGCCTTCTTGTGGGGCTGGCTAATCAAACAACATAATAAAGATGTTTTAGAGTGTAAAAGAAGACATGAACTGGAGTAAACTACTGTAAACTACTGTAAAATACTGATACAGTGTGTTCCATACAGTTATTCTATCATTTTCTCTGGACTCTATAACTTTTTGATTGTGAGAATCAGTTATATATGTGGATATAGTTTGTCTTTATTTGTGTGTTATATTGTTA